AGAATTTAGAAAAAGCCTTTTATTGGTATCAAAAAGCAGCAGAAAAGGATCATATCGATGCACAATGTAACCTTGCATATTTGTACAAAAATGGTAAAGGAACAGAAGAGAATTTAGAAAAGGCCTTCTATTGGTATCAAAAAGCAGCGGAAAGAAATTCTATTAATGCACAATATAATCTTGCACGTTTGAATAGTGAAGGAACAGAAAAGAACTTAGAAAAAGCCTTTTATTGGTATCAAAAAGCAGCAGAAAATAATGATAAATATGCGATGAATAATTTAGCTGTTTGTTATAACAATGGCGAAGGAACAGAAAAGAATTTTGAAAAGGCCTTTTATTGGTATCAAAAAGCAGCAGAAATGGATCATATTGATGCACAATATTATCTTGCACGTTTGTATGACAACGGTCAAGGAACAGAAAGGAATCTAGAAAAAGCGTTTTATTTGTATCAAAAAGCAGCAGAAAAGAATCAGATCAAAGCACAATATAATCTTGCATGTATATATTACGCTGGTGAAGTGATAGAAAAGAATTTAGAAAAATCATTTTATTGGTATCAAAGAGCAGCAGAAGGTGGTAATACCAATGCGATGAGTATTTTAGCTCTATATTATGTAAGTGATGATGAAGGAATACTAGAAAAAAATTTAGAAAAAGCATTTTATTGGAATCAAAAAGCAGCAGAAAATGGTAATGAAATTGCACAACATAATCTTGCATCATTATATTACTATGGTAAAGGAACAGAAAGAAATTTAGAAAAAGCATTTTATTGGAATCAAAAAGCAGCAGAAAATGATAGTGCTAAATCACAATATAACCTTGCATGTTTATATTATAATGGTGAAGGGACAGAAAAGAACTTAGAAAAAGCCTTTTATTGGAATCAAAAAGCAGCAGAAAAGGATCATATTGATGCACAATATCATCTTGCAAGTATGTTTTACAATGGTGAAGGAACAGAAAGAAATTTAGAAAAAGCCTTTTATTGGTACCATAAAGCAGCAAAAAGTGGTAATGAAGATGCAATGGGTAATTTAATTATCTGTTATAAATATGCTATGGGAATAGAAAAGGATTTAGAAAAAGCTTTTTATTGGTATCAAAAAGTAACAGAAAATAGCAAAGTTAATAGTGGTAAATGTAAAGAATGCAATCAACTATATATTGGTTATCAATGGTGTCAACAGTGTAATTCTAAGCGATTTCAACAAGACTTTTTAAAATGGACTAGTGGAAATAAATTTATTGATAAATTTATTCAAGATGCACAACTAAATGCTAAAAATATCAATGAAGTATTAGAATGGATTCCTTATAACAAATTGAATAATATCAACTATTATGATAAAGGAGGATTTGGTACAATTGATAAGGCTATCTGGTTAGACGGACCTATTGATAGTTGGGATTTCGACAAACAACAATGGAATAGATGGACTTTACAAAAAGGTTATGAAGTTATTCTTAAAAACCTTAATAATTTTTCAGATTTAGATGACGAATTTTTAAATGAATGGAAGTATAATTATAATTGTCAGAAAAAATCATTTTCAAAATTTGTTCGATTTTTTGGAATTACTCAAGATCCAAATAGTTTAAATTATATGATAGTAATGAGCTATGTAAAAGAAGGAAGCTTGAGAAAATGTTTACCCAATATAGTTAAACTTAATTGGTATGATAAATTACAATTATTGAAAAAAATTATTTTGGGACTTAAAATAATACATGAATCTGGTCTTGTTCATCGTGATCTTCATGATGGTAATATTTTGATATCAAATAATGAGATTTATATTATTGATTTAGGATTATGTAATTCTGTAAGTAATTTACAAAATTCTGAAAATATTTATGGTGTTATGCCTTATATAGCACCTGAAGTATTAAGAGGTAACCCTTACACTTCAGCAAGTGATATCTATAGTTTTTCAATGATAATGTGGGAATTTACATCAGGTGTTCCTCCATTTTATGGTGAAGAATATGATTACCAACTTAATCTAAGCATTTGTGAAGGAGAACGTCCTGAAATTATAAAAAATACTCCAGAGAATTATAAAGATTTGATGAAAGCATGTTGGGACTCAGAACCTACCAAAAGACCAACTTTAAAAGCTATTGAAAGCACGATATCTGAATGGCTTAGTTTTTTTAATAAATATATAATAGTTGATGGAATTGAACATATGACAATGGGTGATACAGATACTAATAGTTCCCAAGTAGTAAGTATTATGAGAGAATTTGCAAAAGCTCTAGAACGGAAACAATTTAATACTAGTACTTTTGCGATGCAATCTCATCCATCAGAATGTGATAAAATTTATTCATTTGAAATCTTGGATGAAAATTTTATTTCTAATAACTCTGATTGCTTAGATTGTATAATTTAAAGAACAAATTTATTTAAGCTTTTTTATTTAGAATTTATAGTATTCATTAATAAGGATAATAATGATAACAGTAAATAATCAGTTAAAAAATCTTCGTCGAATAATGCAAAAGATAAAAGTACCAATAAAAAATTATTTAAATAAAAAATTCCTCGACTTGTTAATCGATAGAACTACTACTACATTAAAAAAAGCCATTTACTAAGCCCAATACGTTGTAGTGTCACAAAACACATGATATGCCAAGTCACATGAATTATTGATAATCAAATAGATTGGTATATTGTTCTCAAAGTCGAAGAATCCCAATTATTTTATTTTAATAATACCTCACTTATTTTGTTTAATTTTTGCAATGTTAATTAAATCAAGTTATTTCTTGTCGTGAAATAAGATGGCAGATTCTTTGGCATAATAAAAAATTTTATCTCAAATAATAACAATTGATTATTACAATTCAAATTTAAAAAATAATTAAAAATTGTTTAATTATTAGCGCGTACGTTAATTAATTTTAACGTTAAGTATTCATATATTAATAAAATTTGAATGGCCAATTAAAATAATTAAATTATTCGCGTGTATTCGAATTAAAGTAATGACTTTATACTAATAAAATGCTATTTTTACAATTCAATTATAATATTGATATTTAATTTATTATAAATAACAGTAATCTAAATGATATTGATAATAGTTCCTGATAATATTTATTGCAATTATTAACGTTTAATATATTTAATTATTATATAATAATGCATTCATAACGATAATGATAAACTGAAATATCTTAAGACACTTTATTAAACCAAAGGGAGAAGATAAAAAAAAATGAAAATTATATAGAGTTCCGCTAAAACTAAAATGTAACCTAAAAAAAATTAAATTTATAATTTTTAACTTTGGGAAAAGTATTTAATTTAGGTGAAGGGAAGGTTGAAAGAGAGGAGGAAACGAAAGAAAAAGAGAGGGAAGACGAGAGAGGGAAAGTAAAAAATATAGACTGACATTATCCAGGTCCTGGAAAACTATATATAAAGATTACAGCCAATAAATTAAAATAAATACTGATGTTATAATAGTTAATAAGTAAATTAACTGTAAATAGATGAATGAAGTGGAATAAAGTTCATTAGGAAACACAATTTTTCTTTTTTTTGGGCAGACTAAATATGCGGATAATTAATGTATAATGAAGAAATTAAATTCAGTACCTTAAAAAATTTTTGTACATCCCATAAATACATTAAGGTATGTAATCTCTAGAATAAGAAAAACTTGGATTTTACTGCATATTTTGAAGATATGTATAATATTTCATTATGACTTTATAAATGTTAAATTATTTTATAGTAAATAAGCTTAATAAAAAAAAGAGAGAGAGATTTTTAGTCACAAATATTGAAATTGGATTAAAAATTGCATTGTGGTATAGAAGACTGTAGTTCAAAACAATATGCATTAAAAATTTATCAAAAAAAGATCAAATAGTTTGCTTAACACTTTTATACTTACTATATAACACAATCAACTTTTCCATATCCTTTATCATATCCTAATTTAATAAAAAGCATTGTTACTCCACAAAATTATGAATAATATGTTTTTATTAATATTTGGTCGTATGTTCACTTAGGAAAAGGCAAAATAGGACGTATAATAATATATCGGCGATAATCCCGACGTATATTTATAATATTGGTATATTCATCTGATAATAATAATAAATTTATTTTAAATAGATAATAACGATAATACATAAAGATATAGTGAATTAAAATTGATAAAATTATTCGTTGAAATTGAGTTTGCAAATTATCGATAACGATACGATATTTGGAGAAGTAAAAGCTTGTTGAGATTGATTTTGAATATCTAAATTATCTAAATTCGTATAAAGAGAAAAATATGGTGAAGAATTTGAAAAAATAAGAATTTTGAATCTTGGAATTTTAAATCTAAAAACTTTAGAATGACTTTTAGAAGAATTGAAATCATGTTAAAGAGTGTAGTAATTGTTATACTGCGGCACGTATTGCGGCGCGTAGAGAGTGTGTATGTAGGGCAAGCCAGGGTTTGCATAGTTCAAGTTTAGTTTTCGAAAGTTTTTTTCCTTTTAGTCCTCAAGTATCATTTCTTTAATACAAATATTTGCTATTTTTTTTTCTTTAGTATTTCTTTTTCGGTTCGAAATTTTTATTCCGTTGGACAGCTTGCTGAATGACCCTTGCTGCCTTGTGGAAACAATAATCGACGTGAGAGTTTATAATTTTTTATATTAATAAATTTATATAATAATTTAAAATTAGATGTGAATTATGAAGTAAAAGCTATTAAATATTTTCCAATGAATTATTACTGTATATTGTGATAATTGTTATAAAATAATGAATTGTTGTCAGTTTCATTTTAATATTTCTTCAAATCATTATATAATATTGGTTTTGAATTGTAATGATTTGATTTGCTAAAGAAATAATTATCATTAATGTGACAATAACATATAATGAAAATAAAATTAGTATTACAATGGATCGTAGAGAAATTCCATACGAAGGAAAAAAAAAAATCCGATGCCCTTTTAACTTAAAGGGTAATATTATAATTGAAAGTATTAAAGCAGAAGGGACAAAGTAAAACCGGATTTATTATATCCGTTCCTTCATTTATTCGAATTTAATTCGAATCTAAGGAAACTGAATTTAAAATCCGAAAGTTGAATACCGTTTTACAGCTCAAAGTATTAGTAATAGTTTATAAGTGTTGCAAATTTTTTACTATAAATTGAAATTGATGAAAATAAACGTGATTTATATAATAATTTTGAGAATATGCTAAATAACTAATTAATAGTAAAAAAAATAATATATAATTATATCTGATTGCAGGTTAAAAGTGTTGTCACGTTAGATAATATATCAACCGGATATCAAACACATACATCCTTAACAAACATGTATGACTTTATAACCTACAACTTCTTAATAATTATAAACTGTTATTACTTTCTTTATCTAACTTTTCTAATTGAGCTAAAAAATCAGCATCAACAACATATTCTTTAAGAAATCTTTCAACAGCATCTAATCTTTCTATAATGTCATCACGATCATTTACGTTATTATTACTTATTTCATTATCACCATCTTCCGATGTATGAATAAATGGCATTCTTGGATAACGACGATTTATATGTTTTTTTACACCTTTTTTAATGCCAAACCATTTCATTTTTTGTACGATTCCCCAAGATTGAATCGCATTTGATCCCGTACCTAAAACCGAATAATTTCAAATTTATGAGAAAAAATATAATTATAGTATTTTTTTAAAAAAAAATGATATTAGTTACCGAATAAGAGTGAATATAAGAATGATAATGATCCTACTACACCAGCAATTTGACCAACTGCGTCAAATAACTAATCCAAACAAAATTTTTTAGATTGATTATTTTTTCGTTTTCATGAATTTCATCGCTTCAATAAAAAAATGAATTACCGTTTTCGCCCTAAAAATAATAATAAATTTTCAATTAATAATACATTTTTTTTTAAAAAAAAAAAAAATTAAGTGCATTTATACTATTATTTACTTTTGTTCTTGTTCTAATGGAACTCTCCAAGTTCTCATTATAAGAGCCAATTTAGCATAAGAATTTGCTGGAGCATTAAGAGCTTCAAGTAACGGATGACTTTCTAACTGAGAATTTATAAAAGTTTCATATATATATTTAGGTGGTATTCCTAAAATATTCCACCAATACTCTTTTGCTACGTTTCTTTTAATTCTTGATAATTCCACTATATGATACTTTTTTTAAAAAAAATAAATAAATAAAATAAATATTATAATTTAAATAACTTTAAAGAAGAAAAGAATTACCTCATGAGAAGATAAGTGATATGAATTTAAATCAGTTAAAGATAAGATGCTATTTTTAACATGATTGTTGTCCTCTTTATAATTTTTCATATTTAAAGGATCTTGCGTTTCTTTGAAAAAAAAAAAATTATTTTTTAAATAAAAAAATATTTTCTTTTGAAATATTGATTTATTTATTATGTTTATAAATAACACTTACTAGAATCAAAAATCTGGATTTTAATACCTATATCTGAATCATCATCTAAAGGAATTACATTAGGATCGATTATTGTAAAGTTAAATTCAATTTTTTCAATATCAAATTTTGTAAAATTTAGTCCATTTGCTTCAAATACTCCTTCATATATTCCCCCATTAGTTGACGAAGATTCTGGTTGTTGTAAATATGGTTCACAATCTTCTAACGATGTTTTGTTTATTCCTTTATAAAAGATACATTAACGAGAAATATTATTTAAAATGATTATATATCAACTAATAGAATCCATTTTTTTAAAAATAAATAACATACGGCCAATAATTTGACAATTTATATTGAATTGAAATCCATAAGCGAAGTGTACATCTATTTAAAAAAATAAAATATTTAAAAATAAATTTATAAACATATCAAAAAAAAACATAAGTACTTGCTTGGCATTGGTATTTCTTCTTCTTCAATAGTATCTTGCATTTTAACAGAAAATATTGGTGTATCCAATCGAACATCAACTACATTAATAATAAAGTTTGATAATTATTAAGAAATAAACTTTTAATAATTTCATTAATATGTAAATTTATTCTTAACATTACCAATTTGAACATACATATAACAAATGAGTATAGCAAGGAATAAAATAGCTACTAAAATTCTTAATATAGCTATTGATTTTGGTTCATTTCTTTTTTGGAAGGCTGCAAAAATTTCTAATACCTGTTTTGGTTTCATATTTTTTTTTTGTTAATAACTGAATTTAATGAAAAAATGAATCCTTTATATCAAGACAACATACACCATTATTATATTATTTTTGTCTGTAACTTTGTGTAATTATTGAGATTATAAAATGATAAAAGGCTTCGGAATACGGAATCTTTAAAACAATCGTGTATCTTAACATGATGATTATACGAACAATTCAAACTAGACTAAAGCTTACTAAAAATCTATTTTTAAATGTTTACCGTATTTAAGAAATTAAAAGGTGTAACGAAGTATCCGCCACTTAGGCGCCACTATATTATCTATGAAATTTACCAAATCTAGTGAAACAATTATTGTTTAGGGATTTCAATATTATGCCAAGAAAACAATTAAACCTTTTTTACTAATATATAGAAAAATGATACCATAATTTAATAGGCAAATTGGCAAAGGCTAAATGGTTCCCCCTTTATCGCACGATATTTTTGAGATACTATTTAGAGGTTTTACTCTCCATATGTATTTCCTTATAAGGTTTAGCCTCAGATAATTTATATATATATATATATTTACGGATAAAATGTGATAAAAATTTGGAGTGTTCTTTATTTATCTTTTATTTATTTTTTCTTTTTTTGAGGGATATAATAATAATAGTAAAAATGGTTAAAATATAATATTTATCAAAATGTAACAAAAATAAAAACCTTATTTAAAAAAGTATTAGTTGTGGAAATTATTAAATTGAGTTTGCGAATTATGACTATCAACGATTGGAGAGGTGTAACCTTGTTGAACCTGGTTTTGCGTATCAAAATTATTTAAATTTGCATATGAAGAAGAAGTTGTTGAAGAAGTTGGTATGACTACAATTTTGAATCCTGGAATTTCAAATTTAAATATATCAGAACGATTTATTTGAGAAGAATTAGTAATCATGTTGAGCGAATTAAGTGGCGAAGCGATATGACTGTCATGACTGCTGGTATGGCTGGTATACTGCGGTTCATAGGACAAGGACTGCGTAGTTGTAGTATAATTTTCATTATTTATAGAAGAGAATAGTGATTGTTGTTGTTCGTAATTGTTGGCCATATAAGATGTTGGAATATTATTATTGCTCGTTATAGAAGAAAAATCGGAGTAGTCGCAAGAAGAATCCACATTATTGTTTAGGGTATGATCCATTTGGAGTGGTTGCAGGTTATTAGAATAATTATTGAACTCGTCATTATTTTGTAAAATATTATAATAATCCATTATATTGTTGAATAATTTACGAATTTTATAATTTGAAAAATTTTGTTGTGATAATATTGAAAAAAAAGAGAGAGATTAATTATTATTTTAATTATTATAGAGAAATTGCGATTTTTCTCCGCATAATTGGCCTTTTTATCTATAATTTTTTTTTTTTAATAGTGCTAAAATATGTGTCTTCATATTTTCTGGAATGTTACTTTATAATATAAATAATAACAGATTTATCTGTCATCGGTCCTTGTGTACAACAGATTTCTTTGAAATATTTAACATATCTATCTGTCAAAAATATCTGATACAATACCTAAATTTGATTCACAAATATTTCCACTAGTAACGTAACACTTGACGATCATTATCAGAATAACCGATGTAACATTAGTGTGACAAATAGTTCTTTCAACAATTCGACTGTCGTCACATGACGCAATTTTTTTTTGATAACCACTTAAAACATTAATTTATATTTTTACCGAATATTAATAGTTATGTTTATTAATTTCTTAGGTTTAACAGTTAAAGTATAAAACATATAACATACATAATTAACCATCGGTTACGATGTAATTAACAGCTGCAAGTACAAACTATATAGTATGAAGCTAGCTAGAGAAATCGGTAAAGGAGGGATTATGAGTGATTAAATTTAATCAGTAACTTACATTTCTTAATTTGATAAAAGAACAATTGATTATACTTGGTGAATTTCTTAAATAAAACCTTTAAATAAAATTATATCCGAAATAATTTATATATAAAACTGCTTTAAACCTAAAAAAAATAGCCAGCGAGCAGAATTAATTTTGTGATTAATTAACCGCATTTAATGTACATGTATAACAATAGCAACAAAATTTAAAAAAAAATTTACGATCAACCAAAGTATATATGTGATACATATGACGAATTAAAGCGAACCAAATTTTACTTACTATAAATGAAATCAACTTTCTACATCCCAATTTGCAAAGTTCATTTATTTATTATTAAAATGAATAAATCACCAACTAGTAATTAAATATAGAAAAAAATATATATTTGATTTATTTAATTGATTATCCTGATTCTTGATTATCGTTCGTTGATATAATAATAATAGTGTACTTACAGACTTACAGTTATTTCAAAAGAATCCAAAAAAATGGTACAAAATATACAAAAAGGAAATGATGTCAATAAATTTTGAAAAGGCATTAAAACAGGGAATAAACCAAATTTTCCCTTTATAGAACAAAATATGATCGTCGTCCTTCGCTTCGAATATTTAAAATTGCTGTATTGTTATAGATAACATGTGACAGCAATATGACAATAAATTTTATTAGTTTCAAACTCCTGAGTAGATTTTTTTATATAATTTTATTAAAAAATTTTAGGTACTAGTATAAGGGTGCAGCAAATATTTATTGCACAGTAAATCATAATATCAGATATAACGAAAAATAGTGTCATAATAGTAGGGTTTTTATTTTTGTCTTGATAAATTGTCCTTAAAAAAATACAAAGTGTTTTAGGTTTTCAAACAAAGGATTTTGATTAATGACGTAACATTTGCCTCTATTTCTTTAATTGAGAAACAATAACATGCTTTTGTTACATGTTTTTGTACTGTACAATAAAAATGTAATAATACTTTAAGCATTTAACTTTATCCCGTATTTTTAACCCACTTTCACGCCAACCCGCTAAAAATTAAAAAAACTTTCCCGGTCGGAAGATATTAAAAGAACATTATCCTTCCAGTTGGGAAGAAAAAACTGATTGTTTTTTTTTTTAAAAAAAATAACCGTTTTTTTTTTAAAATTTATTTAAATTACATTGTGAAAAATTAGCGAAATCTCCTACAAAGGAGTCCTTTTATTTATACAAAAATCTGAAAAGTTTGAAATTATGGGATGTCACATTATGGTTAAACTGAGTAGTCAGAGAAATTTTTTATAAAAAAATATGTATATACAGTATAGCCAGAAGATCATCTTTGCCGTTCTTTTCTTTTTTTTAGGTTTCGGGATCAACATGTTAATCCGTTACATTACAGTGGTTATTTAAACTAAAAATATATTTATCTATTGTTCTTTTTTTCCAAAAATTAGGTACCCCAGGACCTGTTATAATTAATTAATATTCTAAAGTTAAAATTTTTACATTTTTAAAATTTAAAAATTCAAAGAATAATATTATTAATTAGTATTTGGTTTTTTGTTTCGTATAATTTTCATATGATTCTGGTATGAGAACTACAAATAAAGGGGGGGTCATTACAAAATGTTATATGATTTGCGTGATTTTGCGATTACCATGTGATTTATATTGTCAATTTTATTTAACGTTAATAAAAATTGAGAAATTAACCATCAATATTCAATATATCTACTATCCTAATCATCGATTGTGAATAAGATGCAGACGACTATAATAATGCTGACGTGCATATCATGAAGTTTTTAGGTAGTTCGGTTCACGTACTTCCATATGGATTGTTCAGAAATATGTGGAATTCCATACATTCCCATATATCCTACGTTGGATCCAAGTAAAATTTTGTGGATCTACGCCGAAAATACCATGTGTTTCGTCGCAGAGTATTTTGACTATCCAGATTTCTACATAATTCACATAATTCAACTATATTTTACGTGGAAAAAATTTCCTGATGATGTTTGGGAAAGGCGCAGTCTCTTCTAGTCACAACAATTCTTGATTTGAATTGACTCGTTCTAACTTAAAATAAATTTTTTTTTTTTTTTTTTTTTTTTTTGACTCAAAATACTACAGCTAATTGATATGTAAAATCTATATATATTTTTCTCTAAAGAAATTTGGTAGTCGTAGTCCTACGTATAAAAACATCTCTTAATAATATAAAACAAATTCCACACCTTTAATCAAACTACTATATCACATTGTCTAGTTGTCATACGTATTATTAAAAGAAATATGAATCCATAACTTTATTTTATTGTATTATGTCTTATATATTACAGAATTTATGCTCAGGAATTTTGTCATTTTTGATGTAGATTTAACTATATTATTTCACCTCTCAATAACTAGGTCTAGCTTTTCTATTTGTGTTAAAAAGTCAGCATCAACAACATATCTTTCAACGGCATCTAATCTTATCGTCTTCCGATGTATGAATAGTAAATGGTAACAACGAATCCTCTTTTTTTGGTTATAATTTGTGCATACAAATTACAGAATGGGGTTTCAACCTTAACAAAAAAAAATAAATAAAAATAGAATTATTAGGGGGCCGAGCGAAATTTTCTTTTTTTGCATAGTAGTTCACTTTATTTATTACTAAGATGAATAAATCAAACCAACTAGTAATTAATTATAGATTAAAAAAAAATTATTTTTGATTATTACTTGATCATCCTGTGTAATTTCAGAAGAATCCACAAAATATACAAAAAAAAAGGAAAAGGCGACAATAAATTTTGTAAAGACATTAAACCCAAATTTTCCCCTATCAAACAAAAATATGATCGTCCTTCGCTTTTTAATATTTAAAATTGGTTTTTTACTGCTGCACAATAAAAGAATTTTATTATACTCCTAATTGGATTGTTATAGATAACATGCGACGGTAATTTGAACATTCTTCTTTAGAAAAATTCGCTCATTAATTAGGTTCTAATTCCTGAGTAAATTTTTTTTTTATACGATTTTATCAAGAAACTTCAGATAGTATAAAGGTGCAGCAAATATTTATTGTACGGCAAATCATAATTTAGATTGTATATCCGAAAAAAAAGTCATAATAACAGGATTATTTTTATTTTGTCCTGATAAACTTTTGTACACTAAGTTCTTAGTCCTTAAAAAAATACAAGTGTTTTAGGTTTTAAAACAAGGGATTTTTTGATTAATGAAGTACAGTACATTTGTATTTCTTAATTGAGAAATAATAACATGCTTTTTGTTACATGTGTTACATGTTTTGTATTGTACAATAAAATGTAATACATAATTTCAATGATTGTATTTTATGCATTTAATTTTAACCTGTATCCTTTTTATTTTTAACCCACTTTCACTCCAACCCGCTAAAAATTAAAAAACTTTCCCGGTCGGGAAGATAACTAATAAAAGAATCTTACCCAGTTGGGAAGAAAAACCAATTATTTTTTTTATTAAAAAAATAACCGATTTTTTTTAAACGTAATTTTTGTTACATTTTGAAAATAAAAGGACACCCGGCGAAAACTTCAACAAAGGAGTCCTTCTATTTATACAAAAATCTGAAAAGTTTGAAATTATGGGATGTCACGTTATAGTTATAAGTTTATTAGCTAGTAAGTAGTCGCAGCTCGCAGGGAATTTTTTATAAAGAAAAGTATGTATAATCAAATGATCATCTATGGGCATGTTACTCTGTACAATGGTAATTTAAAATAAAAAAATATTTATCTATTATTCTCTTTTTTCCAAACATTCCTGTCATAATTAATATTCTAAAAATAAGATTTTTTTCGTATAATGGAGCTCATGGAAATATATAGTTTTCGTATGAGAATATTAGGTATTTTTTTTATGTTCAGAAGATGCTAAGTCGTAGTACATGAGAATATTAGGTATTCTTTTCCATTTATAATAATCTTTTAAAATGCTGTCTCACGTGATTTGTGTGATTCGCGATTACGTGCGATTTATATTGTATATTAGTAATAATTGAGAATTAAGTATAAACACCATCTTTTTTTTTCTTTCAATATTCCATAAAATTCTATTGAAATTTCAATTGAATTTATCATATTTATCCTAATCATAAGGTGTAGACGAATTATCATAATGCTGACGTACACTATGTTTGGAGAATGACGCTTCGAGTCACAAAATTCTTGATTCAAATTGACTCGTTATAACTTGATTCCAAGTACTGCCTAAAGAAATTTGGTAGTCCAACGTCTAAAAACATCTCTTAAAAATGCAAAGTACATTCTATATAACAACTTCAAATGAAATGCGATGCTATTATCGTAAATGTACAGTTAAATCTGAAGCCATAACGAACTCGCTTTACAACGAAATTTTCTCAAGACGTGACATTTAACCAATCAAATACGTCAAATATCCCTTGTTATAACGAAGCCAATTAAATTCTTTGAATTCTTCGCTATAATCTTATAGCGAATTTGAGAGGGTTCG